ACCACACTTTAAATTTCATTCACATAAAACTGTAATATACAAGCAATTTCCATTATTTTTTTAAGCAATTTTTTAAATTATTATTATGTTTTTCTATATTATATTCAAAAAGGGAGGTTTTTATATGTAGAGATAATAAAAGTTACAGAACCTAAATTAAACAATCTAACTATACAAACGATTTTACATATAAGTATATGTAAAATATCCCATAACTAAAAATACATCTGAAAAATTAAGAATTTTATGTAAAGAAATAAATTGAAACCGTAAAATAGTATTTTCTCATTAAAGCTTCATTTTTGAAGAAAGTATTTGTTATTAGATTTTTCTTTAGTAGAGCTTGGAATTATCCAATTTACATTTAACAGTCATAAAGAGAAAACAATGATTAAGAAAAATTAGGAGTCTTTTGTACACATATTTATCTATATTTATTGTTTCCTTTAATTACGAAAAATGCATTTAAATGCTTTGTTTTTGGTGATTGCTTTTATATATTTATACCGACATTATTATCTTATATGATATGAAGTTATGGTACACGTGTTCATTATTAGCAACTTAATTGTAATTTTTTTTATGGAAGGGTCCCACCAATAATATGGATAGAAGATTCATTATTATTAGTTGAAGCTTGCTTAGATAAAACATGGGAAATATTAAATTCAGGTTACTGGCGATTTGTTTTGATAGAGTATCGATATTGCTACTCATTTTGTACTATTTTAAAGGTATTATAATATATTGCTGAATTTATTGAATACATTGTATATTATATATTTATATATGTACATGCTTTTTATTGTATAACTTTAAGTAAATCATATCATACAATTATAGGCAGTACTGTTGGAGTTTCAATACAACAACAATACCAAGGAATGCACAAAGAACATAACTTCGTTAAAAAGTATTATTCAACAGATAGATAAAGGTATTTTGTTAGGAGCACCACTTCCTAATGTATCTTATTTGTTACCAAAAATTGCTTCAGAACTAAATAATTGTACTAGTAAGTATTGCAATATATATTTAAGTAAAATTTATGATTTTATTATATTTTTATTACTTTTTGATTGTTATTTTAGTCAAATCATTGAAAATACAGGATTTAGAAGAATTGGTTGTTGATTATAAAAATTTGGATGATTCTGTATTGCCTGGATTTGTTGAAATTGTTCAGTATGTTGAACCCTCAATGGAGTTATTTTACAAACAAATATTTATGCCAAAAGTACCAGCAATATTAAAAGGTAACATTACTTTTCCATCTAATGTATCTAGAAAGTGTACTCTTTCAAATTATTATATTATTTAGTATAGAATTTAATAGCATCACAAATTAGGATGAAAAAAGCAATGTGATATACAGAGTGTCCTATACAACTGGATGGAGCTATATCTTTAAAACAGTTAGAGATAGAAAAAAATGTATGAGATAAAATTAAGCTGTTGTTCAACATTCTACATTTTTACATTATATTTATCTATTTTTTAATGTTCTTCAAATATAAAAATCCAGAGGTCATTGAAAAATGTACATGTGTTAGATAGATTAAGTAAATTTTAGACAGTTCAACATGTTTGTGTCTGATGACAAATAAGGTAATATTTGAGAAGTATGTTGTGAAAAATTTTTTTAAGTATAACTTTTTAAGGAAGCATTTACAAGCATATTGAAACTTTTTTGTCTTGGAATTGCATTCTTTATCTGGTGCCAAGTTAGTGTTCTTATGTTTGAGGGTATTCTGTATGTCTAATGTATTTATAATTCTAGGTTGTATTGACCATTGGAAAGCTTTGAATCACTGGAAAAATTTAAATTACTTAATCAAAGTGGCAGGAAATCGAACTGTACCTATTGAAATTGGGTCACGTTACACTGATGAAGATTGGACACAACAGCTTCTCACTTTTTCAGAGTTTTTACAAAAATATGTCTTAACAAAAAATGATCAAATTGGTTATTTAGCTCAGCATCAGCTTTTTGATCAGGTTTTACGTTTTATCTTATATAATAGTTATTAAAACAATAGTACTATCAGTTATCAATACTATCAAATATTTAATCACTAAGTGGATAATAATAATTACAGATTCCTGAACTGAAAGACGATTTTACAGTTCCAGAATATTGCAACTTTACAGACAATGATGATGTGGAACAACCAGATATAAACGTTTGGTTTGGACCTAGTGGGACTATTTCACCTCTGCATTTTGATCCCAAAAATAATCTTTTATGTCAAGTATGGAAATTAATTTCTGTTTTACAATTTGTCCTATAATAACATATTAATTTTTAGTGATTCTAATTTACTGTTTATTATTTGATATTAGTAAGGAACACTTATATGTTAAATGGATTTGCTTTCTAATAGACATTTCTGATTTATACTTTAGTAAATATTGTGCATGTTTTACATGAAATTTATTATGTTGTATTATTGTCTTTTACTATTTTAGGTGTTTGGATACAAAAGAGTTATTTTATATAACCCAAATGATTCATTTAATTTGTACCCATATGATACAAGATTGCTTAATAATACTGCACAAGTTGATCCAATGAATCCGAACTATGAAAAATGGCCTAATTTTAGTAAAGCAAAAGGTTTGATGGGTTATTTAAAACCAGGAGAAATGCTGTATATTCCTCCAAAATGGTGGCATCATGTAACTTCTTTGACGCCAAGTTTCTCAGTTAGCTTTTGGTGGAGTTAAGAAAACCATAAAACTATATTTGGAAATTGAATGTATTTCAAAATTACCAAAATACCCAAATTTTTGTAATAAATATGAAAAGAATTTGTAGTTAAATTTCAGAAAGGGCACACTTAAAAGAAAATCATATTTCTACAATTTAGAAAGAATATTATGTAACTGCCTTTGTACAAAGGTTTTTAATTTTAATAATAAAGTGACTTTAGTTAAGGAAAATAAAAACTTTGCAGAAACGACATATCGATTTTGATATATGCGGTACTCTTGGTATTTGGAACAAATAAAATTTTTAAAGTAGATAGTTGAATTTCTTGAACTAATGTATTATTGTGTTGAATAAGTAATTTTGCACCACGAGTAACCCAGATATCACTCGTCTTAGAGAAGTCCATTTTTGGTCTGAACGTTTTATGACCTGATCTGGACGCTTTAAAGACGTACGAATCTGTACGTCCTAACAATGTATAAAAATTACGTCTTTAAGACATTTCTAAAGCCAGGGCATAGCGCTTCGCAATGTCATGTTTCAAAGACATCTTGATTTCTAACGCTTGACGTCGTTCAGAGGACATTTGGACATCTTTAGACTTTTACTCGACGTTTTTAAGACATTCACAAGACATTTGTGTACTATCTGAGAAGTTTTTACTGTTGTTCACAATAATACTTATACATATTCCATTGAATATAGAATATAGAACATAGAACATTGCACAATAATATTTGTACATATTATTATAATATGAT